GTTGCCCAGGTGGGTCGCGAACCCGCGGGCTCAGGCAATCCACTCACCTCAGCCTCCCAAGGCGCAGGATTACAGGCTGAGCCACAAACCAACCGTAAGTATACCTCATAGAATATCCCCTCGCATAATATTTTCCAAGAGTACTGTCCATACCCCAGGAAAACATACATATCTCTCATTACGATGCTGTTGGCTTTTTTTGGTTGTTTATGTGGGAGGAAACGTATCCACCCCCAGAACGCAATACAACATTTCTAGCAAAATGATGTGGGGAAAACTCTCAAGCAAGACTCCAAGTTCAGCTGGTGGCGTGAACAAATGTGAGCCTGAAAGAGTCAGGTCTTGAAAATGGATCCCAGCCGGCTCGGTGGCTCAGCCGGTAATCCCGCACTTTGGGAGGCCGAGGTGAGTGGATTGCCTGAGCCCGCGGGTTCGAGACCCACCTGGGCAACTTGGAGAGACCTTATCTCCACAATAAATCAAAACTTAGCCGGGCGTGGTGGCGTGCGCCTGTAGTTCCGGCTACTCGGAAGGCTGAGGCAGAAGGATCGCCGGAGCCCAGCAGGTGGAGGCTGCGGTGGCCGGGAGCAGCCACTGCACTCCAGTCTAGGCGACGGAGTGAGACTCCAACTCAAAAAAAAAAAAAAATATGGATCCCGAGGGGCTAACCAAGGGCACACAGTACTGAGTTCCCCTCACACCTGCACCTTTTAAACTCTGGGGCTTTCTGAGCGTACCTAAACCAACCCATCACGGCTCAGCTGTGTCGACCAATCAGACTAAGCAAGTCTGAAGCCTTCGTTTGCATAAAGGGACTTGATTGGGAACCTGGGCGGGAACTTTTGCCATAAAATTCAAACCCTGTCTTTGTTCTCTGGAATGCACCTTAAACACCGCCTCTCCCTGGTTTGCCAACTGTTCGCTGGAATAAAGCTTCTTCCCTCAAAATTCCTATTCAGAGAACTTTTGTCCACAGTAGGGTATCAAAATCATGTGTGGATGTTTTTGAAAAGTGCAAATTTCAATAAAGCAGGCGTCCAAAACAATTGCTTATTAACAGCTATTTTAATACGCTAAGCACTTTACGTCCTAATAGGACTGCCGATTGCTTTTCATTGTTTGTGTTGGTGTTTTATTTTAAGAAATTGGTTGGGGATTTTTGGTTGATATGTAACACATTTCAATTTTTACCATTTAAAATAATGGGAAATGAGATTCCCTTTTAGAACATTTGATTTCTGGTAACAGGGCAATGAAGTTAAGCAATAGATCGCTGTATGGCATTGATATCTAAACCTTACGATGCCTGAATGCAAGCAACATAAGAAAGCTACAGAACATATCTCACTTAAAATATCAATCCCCAAATCCCACATAAAATATTAAACACAATCCAACAGCACATTGCAAATAACCAATTGGGTTTATTCTAAGTCTGCAAAGATAGCTTCATATCAGTAAATTCATGCTATAAATTCCGATAATTAGGGAGAAAAAAATAGATGATCTCTATGGATGGATGCTGAAGAGGTCTTCAACAAAATTCCTGATCTATTCCAGATAAAAACAATTATGGAAATGGAAACTAACGGACAATATAACATGATTTTACACACTTAAACACACACACCCCTCTCGGGTCCCAAACCCAAGTCTTACTTTATGGAGACAGCAACACCCACTAACTCCGCTGTTATCTGACAGAGCACCAGCCAGTGAAATCAGACAAAAAAATAATGAGGAGACATCTAAGACAGGAAGAGTCAGAACTATATTTGAAGAAGTTTCAGTAACACGCTTGAAAAAAACAAAGTGGATCCGCACCCCAACTGGCAGACAACTGAGGACTCAGAAAAGCAGTAGGACACATATTAACAGATAAAAACCAATAGCCCAGATTTCTGTTTCTGGCAGCAGTAATAATGGACCAGACAATCAGTTGCTCTTAACAGTCAAAAACACCAGTCATTGAGAGAATGAAATGCCAAGCCACAGACTGGGAGAAAATGCTTGCAAAACATATATCCGATAAAAGACTCATATCCAACACATACAAATAACTCTTGAAACTCAACAATTAGCCGGGCTCGGGGGCTCAGCCTGTAATCCCGCGCCTTTGGGAGGCTGAGGTGAGTGGATGGCCTGAGCCCGTGGGTTCGAGACCCGCCTGGGCGGCGAGACCTCATCTCTACAATAAATCAAAAACCAGCTGGGTGTGGTAGCGCGCGCCTGTAATTCCAGCTACTTGGAAGGCTGAGGCGGAAGGATTGCCAGAGCCCAGCCGGTTGAGGCTGCGGTGGCTGGGAGTGGCCACTGCACTCCAGTCTGGGCGACAGAGTGAGACCCCAACTCAAAAAAAAAAAAAGAAACTCAACAATTAGACAACAAAAAACCCAAACAGAAAGTGAGCAAAAGATATTAATAGGAACCTCACCAAAGATTATGCAGATGGCAAATAAGCATGTCAAAAGATGCTCAATGTCTTATGTCATTAGGGAATCGCAAACTAAACAACAAGATACCACCACACACATAATTAGAATGGCTAAAATCCAAAACACTGACGACAGCGAATGTTGGCGAGGATGTGGAACAAAAGGAACTCTTGTTCGCTGCCGGTGGGGATGCAAAATGGTACAGCCACTCTGGAAGACAGTTTGGCAGTTTCTTATAAAGATAAACACAGTCTCGCCGTACAGTCCAACAACTGTGCTATTAAGTACTGACTCAAAGGAGCTGAAACTGATGTTCACACAAAAACCTGAACAGGAATGTTTATGTCGGTTTCATTCACAATCGTCAAAAATCGGAAGCAACCAAGATGTCCTTCAAAAGATGGACGAACACACACACAGTGGTGTACCCAGACAATGGGATATTAACTCAGTGCTAAGAAGAAGTGAGCTACCGAAGCCACAAAAAGACCTGGAGGAGACTTAAGGGCGTCCTGCTAAGTGAGGGAGGCCCACCTGGAAAGACTGCACACTGTGTGGTTCCAACCTGTGGCGGACTGGAGAACGCAAAACTCCAGGGACAGCAGAAAGATCAGAGAATGCCAGCAGGGGTGGGGGGTGGGGGGCAAGAGCGTGAGGTGTGTGGGAGAGGCCACATCTGGATCCCCGTAGACAAAAGCCCGCTGGGGGCCCTGGCTCAGACTCGGGCTCACCCAGAGAGGATCAGACGAGGGGCTGGGAAGACAAAGACTCGCCTGTGCCCACGGGAAGGGGACAAGAGCACAGGCCAAGGACGGCTTCTTCCGGGGAAGCAGAGAGTAAGGGAGGACCTGCTGCCTCCACGGTCACACCTGGGCCTGAGCACTGGTCCAGGGGCCCTGGGGGGCGTATCTGAGCAGGAGAGCAGGCGAGGTGTCCGTGTGTGGACGCATCCGCAAGCTCACACGTGCACGTGGTGGCACCCAGCTGAGTCCGCCCGGCTGTCGGGGAGTCCTGTTTCCGTGCCTGTCCGTCCCCCACTGGAATGCTTTCTCTGCACTTCTGAAAGGGGCTGCTCCTCGGTGCTCGTGAAAGGCCGGTGCGCCCTCCCCGCGGTGGAGGGGCCGGTCGGTCACCTGCTGGAAGCCTGGAATGGCGCCTCGCTCCCCAAGCCCTCGGAGCCCGCACACAGGCAGGCACGACGTGTCTGCTCGCCGGGGACGCTGCATGTGTGAGCCAGGGGAAGAAGGCGGCTCAGGCAAAGGCCTGGAGACGCCTCCAAACAGGGCTGTGCGGGCAACGACAGGCGAGAAGACAGCTGCTGCGAACCCCTTCCTCATCCACCAGGTCTCGGCCCTGATCAAGCCCTGGCCGTCACCCTCAGCAACTTTTGTGCAACTATGAAGAGCTGCAGACGCTCTGTGGCCCGTCTTCCTGACAAGGCAGACTCCCTCCTGCGTGTCTCCAGCACTAACACAGCACCTGGCACTGGGTTGGCAACTTGCAAATATTTCTGGAGGGAGGAGAATGGAGCTGAACCTGCTCTCTCTGGGCATGAGAAATCACAGGGGTATCAAGGGACAGATGTGGACAGCAAAGGGCTGTCCCTCCGGCTGGAAGGACAACACACAGAGGCACCTGGTCCCCAGGTGGCTGCTGGGAAGCGGGAGGGAGGGGTAGCTGGGCCCACACAAGATGGGCCCTGCCCTAACAGTGTGGGGAGATACTCACTGGGAACCACCGTGGCCTCCCCAGGAGGGCCCGTTAGCGTCACTGGGATGTGCACAGCGGTGCCAGGATCTGAGGGCTGGCTGCCCATACGAGTGACGTTCCGCTGATTATCTGCATCCTCTGGCTGTTCCTCCACCTTCTGGAGACAGGTACTGGGCAGTGTGTGCACAGGGCCCACAGCCTCCAGGTCACCGTGCAGCTCCCTGCAACCAAGAATGTACATCAGTCTAGTATGGCGTCCAACTCCTAATCAAGCTACAAAACCCAGCTCCTTAAACGTCTACCCAGACCGAGTACATCTCTGACCCCATCTTCTGCTACTCTGGCATTTTGCATGATTTTTATCACCCTGTACACCTCCGTGTCTTTAGGTGTGAGAGGCAAGGACAGGCTGGGCTCGGTGGCTCCGCCTGTAATCCCAGCACTCTGGGAGACCAAGGCGAGCGGACTGCCTGAGTCTGCGGGTTCAAGACCAGCCCGGGCAACTTGGCGAGACCTCATCTCTACAATAAATCAAAAAAAGTTGGCTGGGCGTGGTAGCGTGCGCCTGTAGTTCAGGCTACTTGGAAGGCGAGGTAGAAGGACTGCGGCAGCCCAGCCCAGCAGGTCACCGCGGTGGTGGTGAGCGTGCCATTGCACTCCAACCTGGGCGATGAAGTGAGACTCCAACTCAAAAAAAAGGCAAGGACAGGGCTGACTCACCTGCTGTCCCAGACACAGAGCCACACGTGCCTGGCCCATCAGCACATATGTGGACCAGGCCTGCCTGCAGAATGAAGATACCTGGAGCAGGAGGCTGCCCTAAGTCACCGCCTGGAGCCAGGCCAAAGGTCTGCAGAGCTGCGCGCGCACGGACAGTGGCACGGCTGGGCTGACCCTGAACTGCAAGTGCTCTGGCTGGTACGTGGCCAGGAGGTGCCACAAACCGCTGTCTGGGCTCTCAGAGCGCTGTTACCTCAGGCCCTCACGGGGCCACCCAGTCCCGCCCCAGGAAGCC